ATTCTTTAATTATGAGGCCATATTTCTTGGCGAAAAATGTTTCTTTCAATAAGTAAATAAAAATAAAAGTGTGTAGTTGAGCGTCAGGTTTCATTTCCTTCAAAACTAAAGGAAAAGGGTCATCATCGTCGCCGCTCTCACCCTCATAATGATCATTAATTTTGCTCTCATCATCATTTACATCATTATTTTCATCTTGTTACCGGCATTGTCGTCATTATCATCTCGGCAATCGACTTCATCATCAGGGTTAACTGTTTCATCATCAGCCGTGTCATCACTATCATGGTCGCCTATATAATCACTAGTAGCTACATCATTACCATCGGCTGTGTCATTTAAATCACATTGCAGCGCGATCATTATGCACAATCAATTGTATAATTATCACCGTCAGCTACATTATTATCTTTGTCCTGCAATTCATCTTTACCATCATTCATAATCATTGTAATCATTGATAAACTTGAAATACATAGTCATGTAGTTGTTCTCTAAGTTACGGGTACATGCGAAAGTCAATATCCTCCTAGATCCTCTGAAAATCTGCTGAATGTAATTGCTCTTGCATTAGGAAAACAATTCGATCCAATATTTCAAGCCATATTCACGGTTTAGTCCATGACTGAAGTCAGCAGTCTTCTCTTCCTGATAACTCTGTAAATCGACGATGTAGATCCGGTATTCCTTTGTATCTTTTTTCATGGTAACAATCTTTGAGTAAGGCCTTTTTCAGGTTTAATCTAGTCCATCTTGTGACCAGACAGTAGGCAGCTGAAAACTATTTTCTGTGGTTTTTTCGATTATACGTAATCTCTGACTGTTTTCATATGCAAATTGTCAGACGCGTCTTGTCCTTTCGTTTGATTTTATCAGCAGTATAACTTTATAGTGATGTCCTCTCATAGTACATGGCTTTCATATTCACGTATTGTTACCTTCTGGTCAAAAAGTGTGACATACGTGATTCATGTTTTAATGTTATTCACTGTTGTCTCTGTGCAGATATCATCACTTCAACGTCGTATGCTTTCCATATTCTTTAAAATTTGTTTTTTCTTGATAAGGAGTCAACTTTAAGCACCAGGACGTTCCGCCAGCAGCAGTTTTGTTCTTCTTTGATAGATAATTGAGGATGTGACTTTGCAAATCATAACCAGAGCATAATTTTGCAGAGGAACTAACGACAATTGTAATAAAGCAGCTGAAATATTTTCAAATGGCAAAAAGCTAATGGGCGAGGGGAGTGCAATGCGCCGTGTAATCTGGTATTAGAGGAGTTGTGCATTATTTGGCACATTCCGACGTATATACAGATTTAGATGTTTATGCGGGGTAGCTATAGCGAGCAAAATGGTGCAAGGTGCATTTTACACCGTAGGTGCTCAAATGCCATAGAACTGTGGTCCTCCTTAAATGCCCTCCTCCCTGGCTACGTGCTGAAATCTAGTTTCAGAGGGGTCGTGCGTTAAATCGGTAATTGTTAATAAAACTGGTTTTTTTCACGTGACCTGACCCTACCTTATACTTGATTAATTAATTATAGATAACTTTCAATGTCATATTTTCTTTTCGACGATTCTTAGACATTTTGCATATCGCATGATTTAATATACAGTTGATTGACATTGTTATTTAATTATAATCCTCTTAGTTTATTAAATGATGTTTGTATTTTCAGCAAACTTCGTGCAAAGCTCGGCCTTCCTCCTTTAGACGTTGACCAGTCGAAAGGTACAGAATCTGCTCCACGCGTGAACCCAGATGGTAGTACTGAAAGTAAGAAGTTTTTGAAAAGTAGACCGTAGATCAAGTATTGGAAATAGTTTAAACCGCAGTAACATGTAAAATTTTTTAGCATTAATAAATGTCGAATTTTTGTTTGTGGTCATTGAATGGTTGAACAAGGTTGATATTCCGGAATGACTGTTTGCTTACAGATAGCCGAGGGGTTCAGTCCGTCAATATCATTTGAATATAAGCCATTCTGCAGTTTCACAAGATCGGAGAAAATTTGCAGAATTGTTGTGTGATTCTAATGTTTTTAAGATCTTACCAGAGTTTGGTGAAAAATGTTATCATAAACCGTTCCTGTGCGTCTGCTATATTTTGTTTTAAATCTGATTTGCAATGCACAGGAGCTTCCGCGGCATTCGAACTATTTCATGGCTTCGAATGAAACACTGTGATTCGCAGACAATACTTTTAGGAAGTCACTTTCTGTAACTTTTTGATTAAAAATCGTCCTCTGATTTGTATGTCTAAAATGTTATGTATTTTAATTATCATTCGGCGATTTAAAGGACACATCTGCCGAATGTTGATGCTAATTATAAAGTTATAAAGTTATACATCTTTGATGACCGCATACCGCATATCTTTTCTGGTCGCGGAGTTAGAGGTCTAACTGTCACGACCTGTGCCAGTGTTTGAGTTTCGGTAGAAGGTAACCCGATTCTTGGGGTTACACTTGCCCGCGTTATTTTTGGCTCTATTCGGAATCTTGCAGCTATTTTTCTCGATGCTGCTGCTACTCATCATTACGGTTCTTTTCTGTAACAACAAGAATACCAGCCAATTTCAGTTCAGTTTTCAAGACCGCTTTTCTTTTTGAGTCGCGTAGGCGGACGCGTCAGAGAGTGCTTCAAAAATTCCCGTCCTATGCCAGCGTCTAAGCTGCTGCGGCAGAAGATAACCGGAGTTTAAAGCAGAATCCTTCAATACACTTGACCCGGGTTAATACTGACCATCCTCAGGGTTTTCTGCTGATCGTTTTGGGAAGTAGAAGTTGTTTCGCCTTCCTTTCTGGAAGTGTTCCGTTCTCGTGCCCAAACCCTTGCAGTTAAGACTTCTCAGTCTGGAAAAGCACCTCATGTACTCTAAGTCAGTTTCAGATATCTGTACTCCGGACCACGTCGAGAGTCGTGGGGCCAGCGACTCGACGCAGAAGGCCCATTTCAGCCGATTGTACCTGGGCTCGAAGCTTCTCACTCATGGTCCATGACTCTTGACCGTAGGTAAACATGTGGATGAAGATCGACTTAAACACCGAGAACTTAGTCCTCTGACTCGCATCTGCAGCGATTCGTCCGATGATTCGAGGAGTTCACACAGGAAGCCCTCGATGATTCTAATTCGCCGGTCGATCACCCAACCATTTCCATTTCCACTGGACACGACTCCGTCGTAGATAAGCTTCTCCACCTGCTCCACTGCTTCTTTATTTGTCTGAATAGCGCAACAGGCAAGTGAACGGGACAGTACTAGGCTTTT